TGAGATTCATTATAATTGTTATTATTATTATTATTATTATTATTATTATTATTATTATTATTATTATTATTGTTGTTGTTGTTGTTGTTGTTGTTGTTATTATTATTATTATATTAGTATTATTGTTATTATTATTATTATTATTATTATTATTATTATTATTATTATTATTATTATTATTATTATTATTGTGTTAAGGATATGTGTGGTTGATGTTTTCTATCTCTGTGTTGTTCTAATTATTCTCTTTTAGAATAGTTATTTTAGATTAACTGTTACAACTCCTTAGCTATTAACTCTCTCTTGTATACTATTTGTACCCAGTAGCTTCACATCAATAATACTGAAGTTCTTTTATTTACATGGTATCACTGCCTTCCTAAATGACATGCGGTCCATAGTTGACGATCTTGCCTTGACTCAGTGAAGTTCATCTCTTTACATATTGTACCCTTAGGTCATTTTACATGTTAATCTAAACAGTTAATTTTTTCAAATTTCTTTTTACCATCCGTTGATATAATTCGCAGGTCAAATCCGCTAACGCTAACCGCTAACTGCTGATTGCCAAACAAGGACATTGCGAGATAATTTCTCACTTCAATTTGTTGTGTGATTTGAATACCTTATTTGTCAACAAAACCCTCAAGTAGTTAATATGATTGGCTTAATTATATATATTTTTAATCTTTTCATGGTATTAATAAAATACTTGGTAAATAAATATATAGCATTATTTTGTATTATAACTTTCATATTTAATTAAAAAATAGCCCACAAAAAAGATAATACACAATGTAGTGAATATAATCAATTGATAAATTTGAATGTAGAGAATTTTTACATTGGAGAAAAATAAAGACAGTAAAACTAATGAAATTATTTCTCTAAATTAATTTATTGATAATGAATAATTTTTTTTTAATAAAGACATTGTAGGGACAATGTAGCAAATATAATCAATTGATAATTTGAATGTAAAGAATTTTTATATTGGAGAAAAATAAAGACAATATAACTAATAACTTTTTTTTTTATAAGTGGGATACCCTACATATACACACTATTAGCCTCAATTAAGGTTTGAACCTATCACTTCCCACTTAGGGGAGCAACCCGATACCAGTGAACAACATGCCACTTGGTAATTATTTTTCTTTTTTAATTTATTGATAATGAATAATTTTTTTTGAAAATAAAGACATTGTAGATACATAATTCTAAATTAAAGAAATGCATCTTTTTTTTTTTTTTTGTAGATATTAAATTATTATTTAATTTAGTAAGAGTAAAATAGAGTACTAATTATGCCAACTTTGATTAGGATATGGTTCGAACCTAAGACCTTTCTTATTCAAATCAATGAGTAAGTTGAAATTAACGGAGAAAGATAATATTTAATGGAAAATTGAAGGGATAATCATATAATTAAGGATAAATTATGAAATCTCAAAGAAAAATTAAATTTGATCAATCTGAGCCATTCATTTGATTAAAAACTTTGACTATCAATTTGTTTTTCTACCATTTATACGCCTAACTCTCTTGGACTCATATATATATATATATATATATATATATATATATATATATATATATATATATATATATATATATATATATATATATATATATATATATATATATATAACTTTACTTCAAATTTTAGTTTTTTTTTAAAGAAATGTATTAATAGGTTTAGCTGGTTTAAACGGGTTTCGTGTCATATCGTGTCGACACAACCCAAAATCTATTAAAAAAATATGTCTATCGTATAAACCTGTTTACAAATCGTGTTTGTATTCGTGTTAAGAAGTTAAACCCGTTAACCTTAACATTTCATGTTCGTGTTTAGCCTTATCGTGTTTGTGTCATTATTGTGTGAGCGAGTATAAATGAATAATACTAATGTTGTTGCTTTGTTTTGCCCATATGGGGCTCGGTAGAGGTTTTGTCACCCCTCCCTCAGCACCTCTGAAGCCCCCCCCCCCCCCCCCCCCCCCCCCCCCGCCCCCCCCCCCTAAGCAGAAAGAAGGCAAGCTCCTCGGTGCCCGATCCATGCGAGCCAACCGTGCCGACCGCTGTTCCCCTAGCCGCCACGGCCACGAGACAACTCACCAACTCGGGCCAGGATTTGCTCGCCTTCCGGGTTTAGAGCAAAAGGGGTAAGGAAAATGCCACTAACTCTAACCTCGAGGAGGTGTCTCCCTTGAAACGGACTTAGCGTTACCACCCCTGGCCCGGACTCCAGTGGTGGATGTTTGACTGAGCAGTGAGCAACCAGCTGCCTCCTGGGCAACCTTAGCGACCTGATCTGCCCGGGCGAGGATATGCACAATTGGACGGTTAACCAAATTGGTGAACGGGGTGCGAAGATCTGGTGCAGGTATGCGCCTCGCATTTCTATATTTCTTAACTGTTTGCTCGGTAAAATTATTTGATCCTTTATGCAGCTGACTCGCATTCTCACCGCCTTCTACAGCAGAGCCAAGGCCGCGGAGGAGATCGAACCCTTGAAGAAGCCCGTCTCTCTCTAGGAGGTTGAGATTAAGTACCTCAAGATCCTGCTCAAGTCAGCGACCGAGAATTGGTCGGCAGCCAGTTGCGGACCCAAAAAACCTTTTCAGTGTGGGCGAAACGTATTTGATAAAATAATTCGAAAAAAAAATACATTATAAACACATCTCATTATTAATATAAAAGAAAGTTATATATATATAAAGATAAAAGAAAGTTATATATATAATAAAGTCATACAAAAATATAACATGAACCCTGGCATCTTAAAAAGATGGCACGAGCACCTTACCACCTAATCTAGTCATATTATATTAACTTTTATCTATTTTATTATACTCATACTAAAACTGGTACTATATATACATATATACATACAAGGGTTATATTTGGAGTGGGGGTGCGATGAGGGGGGCAGCTGCCCCGCATGCTGGGTCCGCCCCTATCGGCAGTGAAGAAGGAGGCCAAAAGTGCCCAAGAGGCTATGTTTAAGATCGTTAGTGCCAAGAGGCTATGCTTAAGATGAACGACCCGAGTCACCGCTCACCTCTACCACGATCAAGCAACAGGTGCCTTTTTCCGGGCATTCCTGAAGAATCAAACCGGTGATGACCTCATTTGGGCCTTCACAAAATTGGCCTTTACCACTGACCAAAGGCACATGCAGCAAGGGGTTTGAACAAGCTTGACGGAATCCTTCACGAATCCTTCACTCGGGCCCAGCTCCCTACACGGAGTCGGTCGCTGTCGAGCCGATTTCTCCCTTCCCTACACGGAGCCGGTCGCTGCCGAGCCGATCTCTCCCTCAGCAGAGTCGGAACACGAGCCGATCTCTCCCCCAGTAGAGTCGGAACACGAACAGGCCCGCACCAAATGGGTATTCCAGGCATTCCTGAAGAATCAAACCGTTGATGACCTCATTTGGGCCTTCAGAAAATGGGCATTTACCACTGACCAACGACACAAATGACGAAAAAAGGCAGCAAGGGGTTTGAACAAGCTTGACGGAATCCTTCACGAATCCTTCACCCGGGCCCAGCTCCCTACACGGAGTCGGTCGCTGTCGAGCCGATCTCTCCCTTCCCTACACGGAGCCGGTCGCTGCCGAGCCGATCTCTCCCTCAACAGAGTCGGAACAAGAGCCGTCCCCCAGTAGAGTCGGAACACGAACAGGCCCGCACCAAATGGGTATTCCAGGCATTCCTGAAGAATCAAACTGTTGATGACCTCATTTGGGCCTTCAGAAAAATGGGCATTTACCACTGACCAACGACACAAATGACGAAAAAGGCAGCAAGGTGTTTGAACAAGCTTGACTGAATCCTTCACGAATCCTTCACCCGGGCCCAGCTCCCTACACGAAGCCGGTCGCTGTCGAGCCGATCTCTCCCTTCCCTACACGAAGCCGGTCGCTGTCGAGCCGATCTCTCCCTCAGCAGAGTCGGAACACGAGCCGTCCCCCAGTAGAGTCGGAACACGAACAGGCCCGCACCAAATGGGTATTCCAGGCATTCCTGAAGAATCAAACCGTTGATGACCTCATTTGGGCCTTCAGAAAATGGGCATTTACCACTGACCAAAAAAAGGCACATGCAGCAAAAGGTTCGGACACTCCTTCAAGGGCGACGACCTTGCTACCATCATGGGCGTCCTGCCCAAATAGGTTGCCACCGAGCGCTGCTCCTACACGGAGCCAGTCGCTGCCGAGCGGATCTCTCCCCCAGCAGAGTCGGAACAGCCCGCACCAAGCACCAAGGAGTAAAGGTAGCTAAAACAGGAACCTGACCCTAGTTATATTAGGTACGCTTACGGAGCCGGTCGCTGCCAAGTGAAGCTAGCTAAAACAGAAGCCTGACCCTAGTTATGTCAGGTACGCTTTTGATCATTTACTTAAGGTGCATGGAACATATATGTGTCTTAATATTAATATATTATCATTATAGCACTTCATAATTTGCTGTAAGACTAAAAAGAGAGTGAAGGGGAATTTCATTGCATTTTAAAAGATCCGTGATCAACAATATTAGTACATTTTGCAGTGAAAATAAAATCAAACACATTATTTATAATTAATTAATTTAAACATATAATCATATTATAATTAAATAAATAATATTTTGATCTCTTTAAACATGTATAATATTTTCATCATTTTCTTATTGTAAAATTAATTAAAAGTTATCTTCAATTATGTTTTAATTAGTTTAGATATCATTGAAGTTTTTAAACATTACTTTTTAAATTATTAGTGCTATAAGAAAATTATAAAATATTATTTTTAATATGAAAAAAAAAATAAAATAATTATTTACTTTCAACTATTACAAAAGTGACATATAGTCTTTACATGATAGGGGTGACAAGAAAAACCGTACCACCACTATCTCAGAATACAATCTTGACTTCAAATATAGAAATCTTATGATGTTTCACATTAAATATAATAGATTGCTTTATTATTATTCCCATCCTTAATTAAGTTGTTTTTTCCTCATCCTTAACTAGCTTATTGTCGTCCTTAAGAAGCTTGTCCTCATCCTTAAGCTGCTTGTTCTCTTCCTTAAAGGCCATATGCATGTCCTTACAGAACTTCGCCTCGTCCTTACATTCCTTGTCGTCGTCCTTACATTGCTTATTCTCAAAGTCCTTGCAACGCATGTCCATATACTCCTTAACTTGTTTTTTCTGAAAGGCCCAAAGTTCCTTCTCCTCTTCCTTAAGTTCCTTGCTCTCGTCCTTAAGCTTGCCCTCTGCAATTACAAAATAACCACAAAATTATTAATGAAAAAAAAAACTAATTTAATATATAAATATAACTATAACTATATATACCTTTATACGCCTTGTCTGTACATCCCCTTTCACATTCTTTTCCGCATGCAAAGACGGTTTTTCCTGTGTCTTTTGCAAGCAGAATGGCATGGATCGAAGCATGACTGGTAAACCGAAGAAAGCGAAGCGTCGACGGTGAGGACAAACATGCACACCAGACACACTGCAACGTTAACCAACTTCTGGGCAGCCGACATTGTTTATTGTTTGTTGTTTTTGTTATTGATGTAGTGTTTCAATTCCTTAAGATTGATGATTATGGATGGGCAATGGTAGTATTTATAGTTAAAGCTAAGGGTTAGTTAGTTGTGGTGTTGCGTTGTTTTAGGATATGGATGCTTTAATTTACTTTTCATCGGATAGGGATTTATCACAAATTAATTAATTAAATGTGGATCTTGCCTGGTCTTCCTTAAATTAATTCATTGCTTTACTGCTTAGCTTCATCCTCTTCCACTCAATTTAATAATCTCAGCTCCTCACCTTAGCTTCCTCAATTTAAATATATATATATATATATATATATATATATATATATATATATATATATATGCTTCGAATCCGGTGCACCCCCTCTAATAGATGAGACCATGAGGCCTCCTAATATCCATTGATTCAATTTTCATCAATGGTTGAGATTATAAGAGATTAGGGTAGTAATTAATGACATTTTTCAATGTAAAGGATATATTAGTAATTGTAATTCTAATTTATTTATGGACATAATTTTATTGGAATCTGTAGCATTAAATTAGGGAGTTTGTGGATGGAAATTAATACTTTGAATTACTACAAAGGCTGATGAGGTGAATTTGGCGTGAACAAGGCTTGAGGAGAAACGAATGGGTAAGTGCATTTACGTGCCATCGTCTGTGCATACACTGAATAATTGGGTTTTTTCCGCTGGGATGGTGGGAGGGGGTGGGGGTTGGTGGACAAACTAGAATATCTATTATGTGCGTAGCGTGTGCGTGTTCAGTTGGTGAACAAACTATTTTTTTCTTCTTTTTTTAGGCCGGTGCACCACTGTTTTCGTGTTGATGTGTTTTTTGGGGGTTGCCTTGTTTGGTGTGGTTGTTTGTGCGTAGCAGTGTCTTACCGTGTGCAAGATAAGGTGTGGTTTAGTTGCTAATTGGCAATATTATTTATATTTTCCTGTCTTTCTCATTTAGTTATTTGCGTTTCTTTTGTTAGGTTGATGCGTGTGTGTTGTTTGGTTGTGGCTGTGAACCAAGCGATTCTTGAGCAAGAAGGTTTAATTAAAATTAGATGCATGACCTAAAAAATTGATTGAGAACTGGATCCGTGTGTAAATTAATTTAGTTCTAGATATAGACATTTGCTTTGGAACTTTGTGCATTTTTGGCAATGGAACTTTGCATCATGTGGTCCGTGTCTTTTTTTTTTTTTTTTTAGTTTTGTTATTTACACTGGTGTGTGCATTTTTATGGTATGGCGTGTGCAAATTTTTGGCAATGGAACTTTGCATCATGTGGTCTATTGTACACGTCATAACATTCCAATGCACACACCAAATACAAAAAACAAAAGCATATGAAGAAATAGGCCTGTGCATATCGCCTGTACAAAAAACAAAAGCATATGAAGAAATTGGCCTGGCATATGAAGAAATTGGCCTGTGCAAAAAAAAAAAAAAAGGCGTGTGCATGATAGTAGCGTAGGCATGTGCGTAGGTGCTGGGATTTTCAAACACATGATAATATTAAGTGGAACTGGAGGACACATCTTTATTACGAAAATGTTAAGGTCGAAATTCAAAAACTAACACCAACTACTTGGAAAGGGAACCAAAGTCAGAACCCCCAGCTAACGCATCGGACTCGAAAGTCAGGCCAGGAGGTCATCATGGAGCTCCATAAAGTGGGCCATGTCCTCCAAAGCTCAGCTAACACATCGGACTTCTCAGCATATATCGCAGCCACAGTCTGCAACATTAAAAAATTGTGTTCATATTACAATGCATCCACCCCTTTACATCCCATGTTTATACTATAATACATTAACCTCCTACCACATACGCACATAGCATACTTGTAAAAAAAAAATTATAAAAAAAAAAATAAATAAACAGCAAGCTACATTACAGCAAGAAACCAACCTCATTGCAAAAAAAAACCCCATTACGAAACAAACACAAACTTAACCCCATTACACACAAACCCATACTAATTAAAGCTACACCATGTTTACACTGCACTGCATTCATCGCCTAACCCCTACGCACATAGCATACTTGAAAAAACAACTTAAACTATTTTACCGGAAAAAATCTAACCTCAGCATAATAAAAAAAAATCCCAATACGAAACAAAACACACACAGACTAGTTACAACACCATTAGCATGACCACCAACCCCTACCCCCCCACAAAAAAATACACTAATCACAGACTATGTACGCACAAACCCATAGTAAATAAAGCTACAACAAGGGTATACTATATTGATTCACCTCTAAACCCCTACGCACATAGCGAAATTGGAAAAAAAAAAAAAGATATACACAGTAATACCAACAAATACCCAAACAATATTTCCAGTACATTACAAATACTATAATGCATTAACCTCCTACCCATACGCACCTAGCATACTTGTAAAAAAATTAAAAAAAAAAAAAAAAAAAAAAAAACAGCAAGCTACGTTACCATGGTGGTTGTATTTTGCTTTCTGTATATCACTTTAAGCACATGATTATGAATGAAGAATTCAAAGCCATCCAGCCACTACATTATGGACACTACAACACATCTGTACACCAATGCCTCCATACACACACAGACTCCAAACCTCAAACGCACACACTAAAGCAGAAGACACACAGGTGATCATCACTACAAATCTCACACCACACACAGTAAACAACACAAACCTAAATTCCCACCCCACCCAACATCAGTACACATACCAGACAAACCCAGACAACCCACACCCATAACCGAAAATAAATAAGTAAATCATAACCCTAACAAAACAAAATTGAAAAATCACCCCCCTCCCCCCCCTCCCCCCCCCACCCCCCCCCCCCCCCCCCCCCCCCCCCCCCGCCCAGAAAAGCAGCTAACCCCCGTGCCAAACCAAACAACACCCTCGCCGGAAAACCCTGCCACACCAAAAAGAATTTGATAAAAAAAAATTACCTTGCACCCCATTAGAGGACAAGGCTCTCATCGGAGGAGTGAGAGGACATAGACGCGATCGAGAGAACAAGGATTCGAGAATAAAAAATCAGAGGACAAAGGCTCTCATCGGAGGAGTGAGAGATGTGGACGCAACCAAGAATAGGGATTTGAGAATCAAAAAAACTTTGCACCTTCCAATAAAAAGTAGGAAATAAATAAGGTAACATAATAAATATAATGTCAAAAGACTAGAACACCCTTGTCTATTTACAAACTCAGCTCACACGCATTAAAAATGCAAAGCAATCTGAAGCGTTAAAATTTAAAAATAAACGAACCAGATCTGATCTCACGAGCTCATCTGCCAAGGGGTGTGCACTGGATCCAAAATTATATATATATATATATATATATATATATATATATATATATATATAATATTTTACTAAGTTTTATTATATTTGAATTAAATAATTATAATTATTATAATTAAATTAAATTCTAATATAATAATAGAATCTTGAAAGTGGATGCAATATTCATTTTGGATAGACTGTACTCTTAATTATTTATTGGATAAATATAATATTAAAGGAGTTTGTTTTGGGGTGGAAGTTACATTTTCTCGACTATAATTGAACCTTATTTTTAGAGGAAGATCAAGAAATATTGGGTAGTGGGGCGGAAAATTAAAAACTAATGAGATATTTGAAAAATAATATTTAGAGTCGAGTCACAGTATTGAAAATTATGGAATTTCGATCACCTAATAGTGATCTTAAATCAATTCGAAAGCCTTGTTCGACCATTTTGGTATCCGAAAAAACCTGTGTTGCTATTTCCGACCACTTTTGGTATTAACTTGATTTAAGATCACTTTTTGGTGGTCGAAAATTCCATAATTTCCAGTAGTGTCATTGGGACCGAAGTAATGGCTATTGCTCATTGACTTGGTGACATTTGTGATAAATTATGAATTTTTTTGGAGCTATAGCTTGAATTTATTTTGTAGTGGAATGTTATACCTATTATATATTATAAACTATATTTTGGCGCGAGTAAAATCTATTTTTGTATGAGAAATATATTTTTATGGTTATAGCTGTTGATATATGAAAATGAAAGGAAGTTTAATGTGATATTTTGTTTGCAAGTAAAAATGATATTGGTGAACAATGTGTTTCATACTAATAGATGCTTCATGTGAGCATGTAGCCATTAATGTGCAATCCAACTATCAGCTTAGGTTTTTAGTTGAGATGGAGCACATGCTTTAATTTGGTATCAGAGTCAGACCAACGGTCATGGGTTCGAATCTCAGTGTCACTCATAAGCAACTACGGTTTACCGGTCCACGTGTTGCTTGGAACCCACCGCACACGTGAGGGGCGTTGAGCATGTAGCCATTAATGTGCAATTCAACTATCAGCTTAAGCTTTTAGTTGAGATGGAGCACATGCTTCAATTCTTCATACGTGCTAAATGTTGATAGTAGAGTAATACTGATAGTATTTTTAATCCGACTAGTATAATTCCCGTGCGATGCACGGACTATGTTATGTTATGATAATAAGAATTATTAGTGTTGTACCCGTGCGTTGCACGTAATTTTTTTTTGTTATTATGAATTTAAATTTAAAAAATAGAAAAGAAATGAAAAGATGTTAAAATGGACATATAATAATATAGTTGGATATTTACATATTTGGTCAAATATCTATTTTCATAACGTACAATATTTAATTTAAATTTTGTATGGTTAATATAATTTCTAATCATGTAAAATATTTACATAAATTTATAGAAAAAATTCACATAATGAAGTTAATTTATTCCTAATTGTAATTCATTTATATTATAATTCTAAAATATGCATTATAACTAAGAGAATTATACTCAGAAATAAATTTAGAAAATGTAAATTTTAAATT